AACAAAAATTTAGCTAATAAATGAATAAAATTGTTTGTCCCAGCTCTATCACTGACCAGCCGTGGGACTCAGCTTTGGGCTATCCACACCGTTGGGTCTCAGTTTACCCTTCTCACAGATCAGATGAGAAGAGATGAAATAGGGTGAGGGACATGTAGAGGATACAGCCAGCTATCCCAAGAGAGTCACTTAATCCCACACCTTTCCACTCTCCATTCACAGTTTAATCCATGCTCTCAGCAGGGAACACTGTTTGTTTTGCCTGCCTCCAGCAAAATTTGGGAAGGCAAATACTAATAATATTGTCCCTTCTGTAAATGAGTGAAATTAAGAACACCGGAGCCCAAAAGTGGAATTGACCACCTAAGCAAGGTAAAACACAGCAAGATGGTGGCAGGCATGACCCTAGGAGACACTTTATACTGCAGCCTCCTCAAGGCTGCCAAGAAACCCAGGACTCAAGGAGCTCACTTGGAAGTTCAATTAGGCTGATGCCAAGTCCTAGAGCAGGGTTTCTCAGCCTTGGCACTACTGACATTTTGGGCCTGATAATTCTTTGGCATGGGATTATCCTATGAATTGGAGGATGTTTAGCAGCATCCCTCATCTCTTCTCACTAGATGCCAGTATCAACCTCCAGTTGTGAAAACCAAAGATGTCTCCAGACATTACCAAATGTTCACAGGGGTGGGAGTTGGGAGCAAAATCACCTCAAGTTGAAAACCACTGCTCTAGAGGGCAGGGGAGAGAGGTTAACTGGAGTCTAAGGAAAGGACACTACAACATTACTCTTTGTCTGAAAGAGACATTATAAAGTCTTTTTTTCTTCATAGCAGGCACCGGGGCAAGTCTTTTCTCCTCTTTGGGCTTCAGTTTTTCCATTTGTAAGTTGGATTTGGTGTTCGTAAGTCATTTTCCCCTTCTTTCACTATCTAATGTTCCTAGATTTGATCCAGGGTGAAACAGGGCTACTGCGGTGCCAGTGAGGCGCCTCAAAGGAAAGGATGAGAAAGAACACGTAGAGGATGTGGTGGAGAGGAGGACGAGGTATTGAGGCAGTAGTGTCCTAGGGATATGGAGAAGCTTGAGCCATCTTCTAGACCCCAACCGCTTCGAGGCCTTATTAGCGTAGGTCGCCTCCAACCAGGCAAACCCAGACTCTGGCCTTACCCATAGGCCCCGCCCACCACCAAAGACCCCCGCCCCTTCAGTGGCCCCACCCTCCTGACCTAGGCCACGCCCCCATCAGGCCCCGCCTCCCTCTTCGCCTCCCGCCAGCCAGGGCTTGGGCTTTGCACCCGGCGGCTGCTGAGAACCGTGGCGGCTGCAGAGCCGGCAGCGCAGACGGGCGGAGCGGAGCTGCCCAGCCCGGTGGAGCGATGCCCC